GGCCCCGAGAGGCCCCCAGGACGGCCCAGGAGGCTTTTAAAACGCCCGACATGGGCTCCAAGACGGCACTGGAGCATTTCAAGAGGGCTCCAAATCGGCCTGGAGAGACCCCCCAAACGGCTTCCGACTGCGTCAGACGGGCCAGGGGCCCACCAAGACGGCCGAAAATGGTGTTAAGATTGCCCGAGACGGCCCAAGAGGCCTCCAAAAGGGCCTTCCTGCTGCCCAACCTCCACGACCATCTCCCCCCTCCTCGGCGTGCCATGCGCCGCGACCCCAGCGGCGCAAGAGACCGCGCCCTCGACCGCTTCGGCCGCCTCTGCGGCCGCCCGCAGGGAGGCCCGAGCGGCGACCGCAGCCGTGGCGGCGCGCGGGCTGGCGGCGGCGGCGGCGGCGGCCGCGTCTGGCGCGTCGGCGGCGTCGACCGCGCGGGCGCGGATGGCGTCGGCAGCGCGAGCGTCGCCGGAGGCGCCCGAACGAGCCGTCTGGGGTGCGCGGGCGGCGGGGACAGCGGCAGAGGAGCTCGAGCAAGCGGCGCCAGCGGCGCTGGCGGCGGCGGGCGCGACACCCAGAGTGGCAGCGTCCGTCGCGCCAGCCGCGCCGGCAGCGCTGGCGGCGGGGGGGGCGCCCAGGCCTAGCGGCGCCGGCGGCGCTCGCGGCGGCAGACGCGCCGTGCGGAGCAGCGGCGTTCGACGCGCCAGAGGCGGCAGCCGCGCTGGCGGCGCTGGCTGGCGGCGGCCGCGCAGGGGGCAGCCGCGGGCCGCCCTCGCGCGCCACGGTCGCCGGCGGGGGGCCGCCAGCCGCCGCTGCTCGGCCGCCGGCCTCCAGTGGGGAGGCGGCAGCGGCAGCGGCAGCAGCGTCAGCGGCAGGAGGGGCGGCCGGGGCGCCGCCGCCGCCCGCCGCCGCGCGCGCGCCAGCCTCCAGGGGGGAGGCGGCAGCAGCAGCAGCCAGGGGCGAGCCAAGGCCAGGCAGCCGCGAGCCACCCTCGCACGCCGCAGCCGCAGGCGGGTGGCCGCCAACCGCCGCCGCCGCACGGCCGCCGGCCTCCAATGGGGAGGCGGCAACGGCAGCGTCGACAGCAGCCAGGGGCGGCCGAGGCGCCGCCCGCCGCCGCCCGCCGCCGCGCGCGCGCCAGCCTCCAGGGGGGGGGGCGGCGGCGGCGGCAGCAGCAGCAGCAGCCAAGGGCGAACCCAGGCCAGGCAGCCGCGGGCCACCCTCGCACGCCGCAGCCGCAGGCGGGGGGCCGCCAACCGCCGCCGCACGGCCGCCGGCCTCCAGTGGGGAGGCGGCAGCGGCAGCAGCGTCAGTAGCAGGAGGGGCGGCCGAGGCGCCGCCGCCGCCCGCCGCCGCGCGCGCGCCAGCCTCCGGGGGGGAGGCTGCGGCGGCGGCAGCAGCAGCAGCCAGGGGCGAGCCCAGGCCAGGCGGCCCGCCGCGGGCGGCGGCAGCCGGGCGTTGGCGCCGCTGCAGGGCGGCGCCGGTGAAACCGCCGGCGCCGAGAGCCATCGCGGCAGGACGGGCACGCCGCGTACCTGGACCAAGGGCGTGCACGAGCCGAGACGGCCTGAGCCACAAGGCTTGAGCCAGACTGGCTACGGACGCTGGTGGGGATCCTTTTGGCCAACAGGCTCGAGAAGCGGGTCGAAACTCGTCCGAACACTGGGTCGGGCCGCGACGAGGCAGCAGGAAAAAAAGGGCAAGCGAAGCGAGCGAGCGGGCAGCCGCTCAGAAGGAGAGCCAGATCCGATACTCCCAAACCTGGTGGTGTGGGAATGCTGGTGGGGATTCATTTTTTCAGCGGCCACGGGCGAGCGCGCTGGCGGCGAATCAGGTCAAAGCGGGCTACGCAGAGACGAATTAAGCGAAGGCAGCGCGAACATGCCACGTCTAACGCAGCAAGCCGAGGCTTCGCGCGGCGGCCCAGCGGCGGGCGGGTGGCAGTGGTGACTGAAACTGAATCGAACTGCCAGCGTGCAAATATGCAGGGCGTCGGAAGCACCAGGAAGTCGGGATGAACGACGACCAGGGTCAACTCCGTAGAATTAACTAAGGCATGCGTCCGAACCCCAGGCAACTGCGTGGGCCCCAGGGTTGCCGCAGCCAAAAAAACGCTGGTCGAGGTGGAATTGGAGAATGCCAAGGCGAGGCCCCGGACGTCGGCGTGAGCGCGAGTACCAGGGTGGCCAGAAGGACCGACGGCCAAATAATTAACGCCAGGAGGCGAACGCGTTGGCAGGCTGCAACTCCCAGGGTGGCTGTAGCCGAGAGACCCCGAGGCAGCAGAACGCACGAGCGCGGGAAGCGGCGGAGCCGCGACGCAGCCAAAATGGCGCGGGCCACCGCGAACTTGTGCGTGAGGTGGCGTCAGACGGCACCACCACCCGACGAAGAAGCCAGGGGAAGAACCGCGAGTTGCGCGGCATGGCAGAAGCCGGTGCGGTGGGAAGGACGCCACCAACCGGCGAGGAGGCCGAAACCAGGCACAGCGGGGGGGGGCACCCCGACCCGGCGGGCCGCCCGGCGGCGCTGGAAAACGCGCCCCGGGGGTGAGAACAGCTATAGTGGGCCGAAAGCCGGTATTGGACAGGTGGACCACGGCCCCAGCAGTAGCCCACGAGTCAGTATTGCCAGCGACGTCCCACTGCTCAAGTTCCCAAGGACGGGGGGCGGTGGGGGCTGGGCAGGAAAGGCACCAGGGAAGGAGCTCTGCCTGCGGGTCGACCGGCGGCCACCGCGGGAACGCAGCGAGCACGCCAGGGGTGAAACGAAGGGGAGACGGGTGGACCACGGCCCCGTCCTGGCCCACAAGTCAGCGAAGTCAGCAGACCCGAAGTCCGTGCCCGGAGGGACTGAACGACGGGGGCTGGGCAGGGAATGGCCCCAGGAAGGGAGCACTGCCTGCAAGCAGGGCGTCGGCCGCAGCGGACGCTGCGTGTGCCGGGCCCAGGGTGATGCAAGCGAGGACTGGTGTCGGAGGTCATCGCCAAGCCAGGGAGGGCGAGAGACCACGGCGAGCTATGTGAGTGAGGCACCGAACCAATTGACCGAAAGGGCCCCATTTTACAAACAGCGATAGTAGCGAACCACGCTCCGGCATGGCCTAACGGGCCCTATTTTAAATGGAGAATCGGGGGCACAGCCCCGGCGGGCCCCTCGGGCCTGAGGTCAGCACATCTGCAGAGGAAGGTGGCGGTCAGCTGTCCACTGGGGCGTCAGGTCGGCGCCGGGTCGGGCGTGTCGGGGCAAACGAGGACTGCTGTCGGAGGTCCTCGCCGAGCCCCTAACAGACGCAGGTCGGAAATCGAACCAGGGAGGGCGAGAGACCACAGCAAGCTGTGTGAGTGAGGCACCGAAACCATTGGCCTAACGGGCCCCATTTTACAGACAGCGATACTAGCGAACCACGTTCCTTCATGGCCTAACGGGCCCTATTTTGACTGGAGAATCGGGGGCACAGCCCCAGTGAATCCATCGGGCCAGAGATCAGCACACCTGAGGAGGAAGGTGGAGGTCGGCTGTCCACTGGGGCGCCAGGTCGGCGTCTGGTCGGGCGTGGCGGGGCAGGCTCGGTTGGGTACCTGGGGGCGAAATCAACGCAGAGTGGGGATACTTTTTTTTGGTCGCGGGCGGACGCGGATTCGCAGTCGCCGAGCTGAGAATACGCGCGTGGATAAACAAAACATATTAACATAAACTTTTGGAGGTCCGCGTGGATTTCTTGGATCCGCGCTGGACCCCCCTGGCGCGCTGAGAGCGCAAGGGGTGGCGCTGGAGGCGCCGCCCAGTGGGCCCCGGCGCCGATCCAAGTAATCCGCGCGGAGCTCCGACAATGCATGTTCATGTATTGTTTGCTTCTTCGAATATGGCCGCGTCCATTCTGTGACGCTGCCAACTTGCGACATCACACACCCGTGTTAGCAGGCATGTCGTGTGATCCCTCTCGGGAGCCCTCCGGGGGAGCCTTCGGGAGCCCAAAGGGTCTGGTATGACTCCGTGCTGGCCTCGTGACCCAGCTGGGCTGTGTGAACCCGTGCTGGCCGTGACCGCCGCCGCTCTAATACATAGCCCTTGTGACGCGAACAAAGAGGACGGCGTGTTTGTTCCCCGAATATCACATTTCACGCCGTCCGTCCATTTTGTCGGCCTACGCTCCCGCAAGTTTTCGCTGTGGCTGTTCCCTCCCTCCCTCTTCTCTTCTTTCGTCCTGGTCTCCTCTTCATCCAATGGCTGGTGCTTTTGCCCTTCTGGCATGGGCCAAAGCTTTGAGCATCCAATGCGTGTGACAACCGTTTTTGGCAAACACGCTGCCCACTCTGCCTCCTCGTCCCACTCTCCTTCTTGGATCTGCTCTGGACACCCCTCCCTGGCGCCAGGGAAAGGGGGGGCCAGTATTTTTGGCAAACACGCTGCCCGCTCTGCCTCCTCGTCCCACTCTCCTTCTTGGATCTGCGCTGGACCTCCATCCCTGGCGCCAGGGAAAGGGGGGCCCAGTGCAGTTTCAGGACCTCCGCGCGGACCTGTGTGAAAGTTTGTGCTCGTGCAGTCTTTGTTCTTCGCGATGCGCTCGTGCGGAAAACAGCTAGCATTAGGTCGGGCATGTCCTCCTACCGGCGGCTTTGGGACGGAAAATAAAGGATAGTCTGGACATTCTCACACATGATCAAAGCTAGGCCAGACATCGCCACCAGACTATTTTTGGACAATCTTTTGACCATCTCCTCCTGTAGAGGGACTGGCCCGACTTTTTGGACGCCCGAAATGGGTACGGAAACGATGGGCACAACGCCCAGCAACAAATGCCGCCCCAAACCAACAGCGGCCGCTGTTGGGCAGGCGGCCCTCTGTCTCAAATGGCCACGGGCCGCGGCGGCGCGGACAGCGAACTGCTGCTGCTGGGCACTGTGCCCATCCTCTCCGCACCCGTGTCCTTCGTGCCGAGACTTACCAGCCCACAGCGAGCACGCCCAGGCCCCCCTTTTCTGCCCCGCGCTCGGGCGGCCCGCCCGGCGCCGCGGCGCCGCCCGGCCCGCGCGGCGCGCGCGCCCTGGGCGGCGCCCCGGCCAGCAAGGCCGCCCGGCGCAGCTCGCCGAGGGCGCGGGCGCCGGGCTCCTGACGCGCGGGCTCGGGGCGACGGCGACGACGACGACGACGACGACGACGACGTCGTCGTCGTCGTCGTCATCATCGTCACCGAGGGGGGGGGCGGCGTCCTGGCGCAGGGGGTCCCCCCTGGCGGGGTCGGAGAGGGCGGGGTCGGAGTATCGCGCCGCCTCGTCGATGCATCGGCGATGTCGGCGTGGAGAGAAGCGGGGTCCACATCAGGCCGCATCGCCGACGCATCGCCGACGCGGCGCGATCCTCCGACCCCATCTGCTCGGACCCCCTGTGGGAGGCCCAGAACGAGGGGGGTGCACAAACCATGGCCGCGGGCATGTTTCCGCAGAAGAGGGGGGGGGCCAAGGACGCGGTGCACGAACAATATGGGGGCCATGAGGTCTGGGGAGATATCGTGGCCCTGGCCATGAGTCCTCCTCCTCCTCCTCCTCCCTCCTCCTCTCCTCCTCCTCCTCCTCCTCCTCCTCCTCTCCTCCTCCTCCTCCTCCTCCCCTCCTCCTCCTCTCCTCCTCCTCTCCTCCTCCCTCCTCTCCTCTTCCTCCTCCCTCCTCCTCCTCCTCTTCCCAGTCCCCCTCCTAAATGCCCCTGGGGGATCGGTCGGCACCGGATCAGGGAACCAGGCTGCAACGGATCGAGGAGGAGAAGGAGGAGGAGGAGGAGGAGGAGGAGGAGGAGGGAGGAGGAGGAGGAGGAGGAGAGGAGGAGGAGGAGGAGGAAAGGAGGAGGAGGAGGAGGAGGAGGAGGAGGAGGAGGAGGAGGAGGAGGAGGAGGAGGAGAGGAGGAGGAGGAGGAGGAGGAGGAGGAGGAGGAGGAGGAGGAGGAGGAGGAGGAGGAGGAGGAGGAGGAGGAGGAGGAGGAAGGGAGGAGGAGGAGGAGGAGGGGGACGTGGTCGCCTGGGCGAGGCGTGGCGCGGTCGGAGCAGCGCCGGGCCGAGGAAGGGGCGGCGCCGCGTTGGCGCCCGCGCGCGGCTGGCTGGGAGGGGTCGGCGCGGGCCCCGGGGCGCGGCGGCGCTCCGCCCGCGCAATCGGGAGGGCCCTGGGGCCAGCGGCGGGCGGGGGGCGGCGGCGGGAGGGGGGGCCGGCGGCCTCGGCGGGGCTGGGCTGTGGCCAGGCCAGGGCCAGAGGCGCCGCTGCGTGGTGCAGATCTCCTCCGGGGGTGTGCCAGAAGACGCCAGCCTGTGGGGGGGCGTGGCGCTCGGGGAGGAGGCGGTGCCGACGGGCGTCGTCCGGGTGGGAATCCTGTGACCTGCCACCCCCTGTGGGCGCACCACTCGGTGGGCAGGGTCGGGAGATTGCACATCCCGTGGGGGTGATCCTCTGACGTGTGGTGCCATTCGTCCCGCCGCTCCCCGCAGGGTTCGCAGCAGAAACGCCAGCTTGGTTCGGGCTGGTCCGTGGCGGGTAGGCGCAGAGGCGTACCTCCGAGAGGGCAAAGAGGTCCAAGCTGACGTTCTCTACGCTGCCGCCGTCGGAGACGTAGACTTAGTTGCTGCGCCGCGGGGGGGAATCCACGCGGGCATCTCGCTACGGGAGCGGCCATGCCTGGTCAAGAGAGAGCTTGAAGGGCAGCAAGAAACATCTCAATTTGCGCGATCTGGCCCTCCCGCTACGCTGCAGGCGGGCCGCGTCCTCGAGCTAATCGCAGTTCTGGAAGGGGGGAAGAAAGGTGGGTCAGGGGGAGGGGCGGATGAGAGCCGGTGGAGGTGAGTGGCGGCTCCGCACTGGCCGTGGGCGCGTCGAGCTGCGGCACAGAACGCCCCAAGCGTGGCCAGCCGATCGCTGCCTTTGTTGAGACGCCGCTGGACGGCGTGCCAAGTAGGCACCCACCCGGCCACCGCCAATGGGTGGAGAGCCTCTTCCATGTGAGCCTGCAGCGGCAGACGCTTTTGAACCGCGCAGTGCCCGCGCCGTACCGCACAGCGGAGAAGTTGCCACCCACTGTGCGGGCAAGCCTGATGTCACGGGCATGGCGTGGAACGCGCTCGTCGAACATCGAGGGGGATCGGATGGGGACGGGGACGAAGGCACACGGGGTAAGGGGCTGGGGCGTCCAGATATATCGGCGCTTCGACGCGTGTGCCCGCGGACCTCTCGTCTCACTCCCCAGGACTGGCTTTCCGTCCGGCTTGCGCTGACCGAGCGTGACGCAGCAGGAAGCCGCGCCCATAGCGCCGAGGCGCCGTGCCCAAGTCAGGCCACAGGAGTGGCTTTCCACCCTACACAGTTTCGTGACCAGCCAGAGGCCCGAAACCAGCCTCCAGGGGCGAAGCATATCACCACGCCGGCCACCTCGACCTTCCCAGACATCCACCGACCTGATTTTTTCGATGTGCGTCCCCGGAGGTCCCGACCACTTCCCCAAGGCTCGATTTTCGCCCCTGGTCCATTTTTGGTTGCCCCGGGGCCCGATGACCGTGCAGGCTGCTGGTGGTGGTGCTGCTGCTAGTGTTCCTCGACCTCCCCCTCCTCCTCCTCCTCCTCCTGCTTTTAGTCCCCTCCTCCTTCTCGCCTTTTTCTTCTGCCTCCCCCTTCTCCCTCCTCCCCTTTACCTCCTTCACTCTTTGCTTGCGTCCAAGCCCAAGTCACATTTTATCCCAATCCGCTCCACGCTGCTGCTCCGCATCTGGGATACGATCTCCGCGCACCGCTGGTACTCTCGCCTCGGTTGGGTGCTGCGCGCAAGACAGGGCAATCCACAGGGCGCGGAGGAGAATCACACAAGATACCGAAGCAATCCCACTAGCCCTCAGGGCGCGATTGGTTTAGGACGTTCCCCGGTCCACCCCCCTTCTTCCCCATCCAGGGAAGGTTTATCACTGCTCCCTATTTAAATCAGCCTGGCGAAGGACCCAACCGTATGCAGCTGTGGGCACCGTCGTTGTATGCACCGCATTCGGCGGAACTCCCTATGGGGCCACGACACGTGTGAAGGTGTACCAGAATGGGTGCGGTGGCCGCATGCAAGCGCTGACATCTGGGCATTCGGTGGAGCTCCTATGGGGCCACGAAACGTGTGAGGGGTGTGCCAAAACGGGTGCGGTGGACGCATGCGAACGCTGGCATCTTGGGCCCTCCGTGGAGCTCCCTATGAGGTCACGACGCGTGTGAGGGGTGTGCCAAGATGGATGTGGTGGCCGTATGCGTACGCTGGCATCTTGGGCCCTCCGTGGAGCTCCCTATGAGGTCACGACGCATGTGAGGGGTGTGTCAAAATTGGTGCGGTGGCCGCATGCAAACGCTAGCATTTGGGCCTTAGGTGGGGCTCCTTGGGGGACCACGAAACGTGTGAGGGGTGTCAAAATTGGTGCGGTGGCCACATGCGAACGCTGGCATGTGGGCCTTCGGTGGGGCTCCCTGTGGAGCCACGAAACGTGTGAGGGGTGCGCCAAAACGGGTGCGGTGGCCGCATGCGAACGCTGGCATTTGGGCCTTCGGTGGGGCTCTATGGGGCCACGAAACGTTCTAGGGGTGTGCCGAAATGGGTGCGGTGGCCGCATGCGAACGCTGACATTGGGGCCCTCGGTGGGGCTTCCTATGGGGCCACGAAGCGTGTGAGGGGTGTGTTGAAACGAATGATGATGATGCTGATGATGCTGATGATGCTGCTGATGATGATGATGATGATGATGATGATGATGATGATGCTGATGCTGCTGCTGCTGCTGATGATGATGATGATGATGATGATGACGAGAGGAAGAAGGCGGGGGGCAGCGGGAGGAGTGAACGCGGTGACCGTCTCTTCAAAACGAAAACCCAACACCACAATAAGTTTGGGGACCCCCCCCCAAACGACCAGCAGCCAACCCAGACCAATGAGAACACCCGCCCCACCATCCCTCTTAAAACAACAATGCAAAATGCACTTTGCCTCCAAATTTGGAGCATGCGCGGGCGCCACGCGACCACAATGTATGGGTTTTTGAAAGGGACCGCGGGGGTGCCACGTTTCGTTTGCTGCGTGCAGGCCAATCATACCTGTCAGAATACAATGCGAAACACACACTGGCTCCAAATCTGGAGCTTGCGCACGGCTCTCTTTGTCTCTGAGCTCTCATCTTTTCCTCGACTTCTCAAGATGTCAAACTTTGTTCATCGGTATCGGTGCTTTGCGCATCCTGGAGCAGCCGCCCTTCTCACATAATGCTCGGCACTTCGCTTCAGGGGTATTCAATCAAGATCCTGAACTCCTTGAGACCAGGACCCCAGGCACCTGGGGTCCCTCTTGGTTCCCCGTGGCTGGCGCACCTGGCGCGGCTGGAGCACGTGACACAGTTGGCGCATGTGGAACATGTGCCGCACCTGGTACGCTTGGGCCTCCAGGGTGCATGGTGCACACCTGGAGCCCGTGGCGCACATGGCATGTGGGTTCCCAAGCGGTCTGCTGACACTCGGGTGTTACTTCCGTGTTGGGAGGGCGGGTGGGGGTGAGCTACACGGCCTGCTATCTAGGAGGTTATCTGGATCACTGCTCCTTATTAATGTACACCCTCTCCCCCACCCGACTGTGTAAAGAGGCCCCAGGACACACAAACAAATACACACAAATAAACTGGTTCCCCATATTTTCCCATATTTTTTGAATTTTTGTCTTCCCCCCCACTTCCCATACGTTCCCATATTTTCCTGGGAGTGGACGATTACTTGTGTCTGTGTGTTTTTCCCCTCCTGATTATTTATGTGCACCCCCTCCCCCGCCCGACCGTGGGCCAACCCGAGACACGCCCCCCCCCATCCCTGTCAACAGAACTGTACAACGTGCGCTCTGCTTCCACATCTGGAGCATGACCATCGGGCGCCCCGCGGCCATTTTGCATCTGCTTTTGACAACAACGGCAGGGCTGCTGTCATATTGCTCGCGGCGCGCAGGACAGCAATTCCTGGCAAACATAAGACCACACGTACTGTGCCTCTTCATCTGGAGCGTGCGCGGGCGGGGCGTCCCGCGATCACTTGGCATTGGTTTCTGGCAAGGACGGCGGGGGTGCCGTCATACTGCGTGCTGCGCGCAATACAACCATCCCTGTCCCGAAACAATATAAACTTTACATTGCCTCCACATCTGGAGCGTGCGCGGGCGCCCTGCGACCACTTGGCATTGGTCTTTGAGAAGGGGCGGCGAAGGTGCCGTCTATTTGCTCGCCGCGCGCAAGCTATCCGTCCGCGCCCCGAAACAATATATAATGCACTTTGCCTCCACATCTGGAGCATGCGCGAGCGCACCGCGACCACTTCGCATTGTTTTTGGACGAAGACGGCGGAAATTCCGGCACATTGCTTAACCGTGTAGCACGTGCCGCACCTCGCGCGCCTGGTTCGCTTGGGCCTCCAGGGTGCCTGGTGCACCCGAACCCGTGGCGCACGTGGCATGCGTGGCGCTTTTTAAACAATATGCTGGGAATCCTTCGGGTGTTGCTTACGTGTTGGAAGGGCGGGCGGGAGTGAGCGAGACGGCTTGCGGGCAAAAGGGGGGGGCTCGATCACTCTTCCCTACTAGTATACACCCCCTCCCCCAGGCGACTGGGAGCCAACCCAAATCCATGCGGGCCCCCCCTACCATCCTTTCAAAAAAAGCAATGCAAGCACACTCTGCCCCCACCATCCCTTGTAAAAAAAAACTATAAACGCACTCTGTCTCCAAATTCGGAGAATGCGCAGCGAACCCGATGCGGCGTCCCCCCACCATCTCTGTCAAAAACCATACAGAGTACACTTGGCGGCGGCGGCGGCGGCTGCGGCGGCTGCGGCGGGGGCAGCGGATGCGGCGGATGCGGGGGTGGCGGCGGCGGCGGGAGCGGCGGCGGCGGCGGGGGCGGCGGCGGCGGCGGTGGTGGCGGAGGTGCGAGCGGTGGCAGCAGCGACTGCGGCGGCAGCGGCTGCGGCGGCGGCGATTTGGCAACGGGGGCGGCGGCGGCGGCGGCGGCGGCCGCGGGCGGCGCGGTGGCCGCGGCGGCGGCGGACAGCGGCGGCGGCGGCGGCGGCGCGGCCGCGGCGGCGGCGGGAGGCGGCGGCGGCGGATTGGCCCCCAGTAGCTGCCCATCCAAAGACGACTGCTGCATATGCTGCGGCTCGGGCTAGACTCGGGTAGTGCCATCATAACTTGTCTGGCTTTTCTTGAATTCTCGATCTGTCGCTGTCAACAGGTTCTTAATCCAATGAAATTATGCGAGCATTTTTTTTTGTTGTTGTTCATTTTTTTTGTTTTTTTATTTGGTTTTCCCACAAGCCCGTCATGTCTTGCATCGATTTGGCCCTTGCGCGGTGCTTGTAGTTTCCGAATCAATTCCGTGGGCCTCCTGCATAGGTTGTCGTGTTATTCTCATTGCTGGCATTCCAGCTGTGTGCGTAAGAGGCCTCGTCCTCGTAGCAATTCCATGATTTCTTTCTTGTCGGCTTCGTACAGTTTGATGCGTCGTGTCTTGATTGGAAATGCTGTCTCGCATCTGAACCGAATCGTCTTCCCGACGCGGTCCTGGACGCCCGGCACAGAATTGGACGACACAGCCTGAACGTGTTCCAAGCCCGTCTGTCGTAGCTCCTGTTGGACTTCTAGGAGGCCCCCCCCGCCCCCGACCGACATTCTTCTTGGGGGGGGGGCACCTGGTACCGCGGCCCCATAGAAGCTGCCGGCTTCGCCGCGCGCTTCGCACCCCGTCGCCGAACGCGCGGGCGCGCGCGAGCAAAGAGGCGCACGCCATCCGGCGGCTCGAACCTGCAAGCGCTGACCCAAGCTGGTGTCCGCCCAGCCGCCCGCCGCTCGACCGTCCGCCCGCCTGGCGGCCTGCCGACTTCCTCTGTCGCCCAACCTGCCCGCTTGCCACCGCTCTTTTCGCTGCGTCTTCCCCTGCCTCTGTCCCTGTCTGTGACTGTGCCTATGCTTGCGTTTCCGTGTCTCTGCGTCTCTGTCTCTCACCTGTGTCCGCGTGTCGATGCATGTGTCTGGGTCTGTGTCTGTGTCTGTGCCTGTCTTTGTCTGCCATGTCGCGGTTCACCTCGACCCCCCCCCCCGCTCGCGTCGGCGCAGAGATTGTGGCAGCATTGCTTGGTCCATCGAGCGCAAAGGCTCGGCGTCACAACTGCACGCGGGAAGGACAATCCTTCCGTCACACCCTTCCCTGGCCGTCCTCCTCGTCCGCCTCCTATTCCTGCCCCCTCCTCCTCCTCCTCCTCCTCCTGCGCCTCCTTCCCCCCGAAACGGCCTGTGGCAGCTCACGAGCACCGTCCAGCTGGCGATATCAGGAGTGATGCGGCGCGCCAACATCTCGCCGAACACGTCCTCGCAACCGCAAGTGGCTGCGAAGACGGACAAGTGCGGGAGGAATGCCAGGCAGCAGCAACAGCTGGGCCCCGAGGAGGACGAGAGAGTGAGACGAGAAACGCCTCCCCGTACTTCTGCCTCACCTGCGGCGACCGTATTCTAGGGCTGCCTTCTAAAAGGACGGGAGGATGAGGAGGAACGGCGACGGTATGGATCCGCTGTGGCTCATCCCTCTCTACAACGTCGCCTCGATAATCCCCTTGACCGACTCGCCATCATGCGCACATTCGCCTCGGGACGATTTTGTTGAGGCGGTCGGTCAGCATCGAGGGGAGCACAATGAGCCAGTGTGATTTTCATCTTGTTTTTCGCGCCTCTTCCCCCCTCGTCCTCCGTCCTCCTGCCTCTCCTCCACAACCGCACTTACCCTACTGACTCGCAGCGCGTGCATCGGCGTGTCTGGTGATATCGAATGCCGCTGTGCAGCAGCTCCGCGGCCAAGCGGAGGTCATGGTAGTCTGAAAAGTCAAAGACTCTAACTGCTGTCGGCGGCCATCCGTTCTGTTCGTCGCCGGGGCATATAGACAGAGGACGAGGGGGAGAAGAGGAGGATGAGGAAGCCAGCGAACTCGAGAGCGAGGATGGGGACGACGACGACGACGACGACGACGACGACGACGACGACGACGACGACGACGACGACGACGATCGATGACTCCTCCTCGGAGGTCGGCTGCGGGTGCGCGAAGGTCCACGGAAGCGCCCACGACCCCCGCAGGGCTCCAAAGGTCTGCGAAGGGCACCCCGCCCTGGACGTGAGCGGGCACGGAGGAGGACGAGGAGGAAGAGGAGGAGGAGGAGGAGGAGGAGGATGGAGGAGGAGGAAGAGGAGGAGGAGGAGGATGGAGGAGGAGGAGGAGGAGGAGGAGGATGGAGGAGGAGGGGGGAGGAGGCAGGAGGGAGGAGGGAGGAGGGAGGCGCTTCCAAGCAGCACCGCCGGCCGCGCGATGGCGGCCGGTCGAGAGCGGGCACGCTCGGAGTGGAGCTTCCTGACAACAACGCTAGCTACGAGACGTGCACCAGAAGCGAGCGGGCACGCACGTGTCGGGTGTTGCTAGAAGTACCCCTGGCCCAAGGTACCCCTAGGATTCTCGGGGTGGCCCAGGCGGCCTCCAGGGCACCCCTCACGAGGCCCAGAGGACCCCAGGGGCTCCAAAATGGAGCGAAAAGCTGGGGGCACCTTGGGCCAGGGGCACTTTTAACAGCACCCGGACGTGGGGGGCACGGTGGGCTCACGGGTGGCCGGCCCAGACAGTAGGCAGCCGATATTTATCATACTTCAGCGGCGAAAGCGACATCCTTCGGCCTCAACGTGCATCCACTTACGGCAGCAGCTCCTGCCTATCTTCGCCGACTTTCTCCTCCGAATGTGTTACCGAATGGGTGGGCACTGGCCTACTTTCATAGGGCCAATCGGTCTGGGGCAACGAACAGAAGCGAGTTTGCGCGATGAGTGAGAAACTCACCCAATTTTTCCGTCCCCGCTGGCAGGCCCACTCGCCCTTCGCAGCTTTCCGCGCTTCTTCTCCCCCATCTGAACTTCACCTTTCCTGCTCTTGTGGAACGGACGTGGGCATCGTGTCACGAATCCCTATTCCCGTTGGCGCGGCCTTGGCCCCACTGGCCGACCTTTCCACCCTGGTGGGGAAGCAGCTCCCATCGGGTTTCGCGGGGCCAATCTCCGCCTGGGCGGGTGGGCTGGCGGGGCTGAGATACCCCTGCGCAGTGGGGATGGGGATGGATTGAGACATGCTGCCGTGGGGGGGGGGGGGCGGAGGGGGCGCAAGGCCTTGGCGGCGCAGGGCGTGGGGCAGCCGCGGATCACCTGGTCGCACGTGGCCCGCCTCGCAGACCAGCCTCCCGCACCGCGCCTCGCCCCCCTCTCCACATCCGTCCTCCCTCCAGCGGCCGAGTGGCATCGCCACAGCGATGGCCAGCACGGGCTGCACACTTGCCAGATTCCACACGGCGCAGCGAGTGGGTGGCTGCCCTCGGCGAGCGGAGCCCCTTTCGCCTCGCCCCTCCCGCCCCTCTGGCACTTCTCACGCTGTGCAGCTGGCCTCGCCAGCTCAGCCCGCAGCTCGCCAACCGCTCCTTGCCGCGCTGGTGCCCTGCCGGCCTCGGCCTCGAGCCTCTGGCCACTCCCGCGCCGCGCAGCGCCTCCCTTCGGCCTGCCTCCCTCCCTCCCTCAGGGCTCCGCCGACTCCTCGGCCGCCCCCCCCGAGGTCCCCCTCCACCCAAGCAGCCGCCGCCGCTGACTCCCAAATGGTAAAAAAATACAAAGAAAAACCCGCCTCCCAGCCTATTTTTTGGCCACTTGTGAAGATCCCTCCTGTAGAGGGACACGCCCGACTTAACGCTAGTGGGACAGGGAGGTCGGGGTGGGCAGACTGGTGGGGGCAGGGGGCCGCACGTGGGGACAGCCAGAGGCGCCCCGGCCGCCGGGCCGCTCACGTCGCCGCCTCCGCCGCCACTCACACCCACCTCCTCGCACTTTCACCCACGTCTGCCCCGCTGCAGCTCCCACTCTGGACACTCGCGCGCTGCCTGGCGGGTGGGGGGAGGGGGGAGCCGGCAGCAGCAAGGCACGCTGGAGGGAGGGGGGCGACCAGTCTTTTCGGCGAAGGCCGCCCCTGGTTTTGTTTTGGACCACTTGGTTACGCGTTTACAGGCGAGGCCAACCCTCCTTTCACATCACGCCCTTCAGTCAACACCTCCCCTCTCCTCCCTCTTCAGAGCTTATGTCGCGGGTGTCGCCTGCCGTTTCGTCATTTCCCCTCTTCCCTCCTCTCCAGACGTAGGATGAAGCGCTAACGTACCCCTCTTCCTGGGGTGTACCCTGGGGCATTCCCACTGATTGTAACCTGTAGTCTTTCCGCCCCCCCGCCCAGCAGCAGGGCAGGGCAGCGCTTCGTCGAAGTACTGACGCTCGCAGCTACGAGCTACGAGGAGGAGAGAGATGATGGACAAGATGACGACGATGGTCATGTTGCTCCCATCGTACTTAAGGACCACATCCCAGAAATAATTTCGAGCACCCAGAAGAGTATCATAACAGTGTCGAACGAATACCGCCTCCCAGGGCCCGACACGTGAACACCCTCAAGTTTCGGTCTGGTGATCAAGGCTAAAGTAGGTTGGAACATCATAAGACGAGGGGGGGAGATGAGGATGACGAGGGAGGAGCATGCGGAGGAGGGCGGAAGAGGACGAGAGGGAGAAGGATAAGGAGGATGAGGAGAAAGGAGGAGGAGGAGTAGGAGCAGGAGCAGGAGGAAGAGGAATGTATAGACGAGAGGGAATTCGTTTTCACAACGTGGACCCCCGGAAATTTAAACCACTTCCATGGAACCCATTTTTCATCCCGAATAACTTATTGACTTTCGGGCTTCGAGGCCGAACATTATGGAACACTGCCAGCGTTTTTTTTGTTGCGACGTGAAAGATATGGGGAAGGCCTCTGCTTGCGGTGCCCTCCGCTCCCGCGCGTGCCCCGCGAGTGCGAGCGGGGCGCACGAGGTCAGCAGGGCGTTGAAGTGCAACAGGTTCGGCTCGACGCCCGACAGCTCCATGAGCGCCAACAGCTCCCTGTGGGCGACCCGGGGATGACGGGGTCGGTCCACGGCTCCTCGTCCCTCCTCGTCTCCCTGTACCTCTACCTCCATCCATGTCCTTGTAAATGACCCTTCCCTGCCTGTCGCACCCTGGATGTGTCCGCAGGGCGGGCAAGGCGTTTCGTCTGAGACCCCCTCACGAGAAGCCTGGAACTTGCAACAGTTTCACAGATAGAGGGCGGGGCATTGTCAAAATGTGGCTGTCGCCTTCGCGCCGCTCCCGCTGGTCTAGTCTTCACAAATCACAAGTTAAACAATATGCATGGCGTGTCGTCTTCAAACTCAGGACCTCGTCTTAGTGCCACGCACACATTTTTCCTCCTGTGTATGTACGTACATAAACAATTGCAACAACGTCAAGAATGGAGGGCGGGCGGCTTTCAAAATGTGGCTCTCTCTGTAACGCCGCGCACATTTGTCGTAACCATTCTGCAACAGTCTCTAAAATGAAGGGCGGCATCTTCGGAATGCGGCTCTCGCTGAGCGCCGCGCATGACGCCCTGAAGCTTGCTTGCAACAGTGTCAAGAACTCGTATGGTCGAAATCCCATGAATGGTGTTCTGGCGCGATGTAGGACTGTCAGGACACAAGGGTAACGTTCTTTCGCGGCGCACTCAGAATTATCAAGGCCTCCACAATCGCGTTGTTTCGCGACGGTGTAGTCACAAGAACGACGCTTTGGCACGATTGAACATTATCAGACGATTGTCTTCCAGAGGGGCACTTCCCGCAATGAAAACAAATTCTTCCAGGGCTCTATGAAGGGAGAGCGTGGAGGGAATGTTTATTGCAACATCGTTGATGCGTCTTGGGTTTACACTGGTCCTCCTTCTTCTCCCGCATGTCTTCCTACTCCTCCTTCGCCTTCTCCTCCTCCTACCGCCCCGTCCCTCCCTCCTTGAGTTTGAAAAGGGTTGGGAGGCCCAACCATACGTTGCGCCTAAATGGAAGCCCATATCCAACTCTGTTCTGCCGAAGTAGCGATAATCCCCGAAATAGAAGATCGTCGCGGGAGTGACGGCCCATGTCAAGCGACAACGTTTCGGTCTCAGTGGCAAATGGTGTGCCTCGCGATGACGCGTAGTCGTATATTGGCGGCCGGCCGTTTGAGCACGCACGGCCGCGGACAAACGCTCGGTATCTCTCGCCTTTGCCCCAGCCTCCTTTAGAGTCGGGGGGGGGGGCGAAGCGTGAGTCCGCCGCCAACTATACAGCAACGCACTAATTAGACAAACTAAGCAGCAGAAGGCGGGCTCAACAAGGCAGGTTGGCCCGCGCGCAAATTCCCTTGCAAGCAAAATGCTTCGCAGGCAGATTACCTTGCAGATGGCTACCCCTCAGGCGGCTCGGACGATCTTGTGTGGCCAGCCCTGTATGGAATGTGGCGTTTTAAATCATGCTTGAAGGATTGCGTTCCTCCCATGACTTGTAGGAGCATGTCTCTGTCAATGCTCCCTTTGGTGTGGCCGTCCGCGGTCGTGTCGCGAGTGTCACACCGCTGTGCACAATGCGCGATACCTCGCTCCATCATCTGTCGTATCCAACTGATGTCCCAGAAGTGTACAATCAGTCGGCTTCTTCAAGTCTTTGCTCGACAAGGACTTGAATGCATGTTCTGCATCGATTGGCAAAGTGACCGTAGCGTCTTTCAACGGAGTGTCGGCGGCGCTGCGTGAAGTTCGCGCAGAGGAACGATCGTGGGATAGCAGTCCTGCAAGTTATGGGCCGCTGCAAGTGTTTTTGCTGAGTAGCTCGAGCGGGCCTGCAAACGATAGGATTTGCAGTGCGCGTCGACAAGATGGACGACGGGCTTGCCAGCGTGCGCGTGTCCACGCCGGAGCAGGTTCGCCCCGCGAATGCCATGGCCTTTGACCACGTCATCAGCATCTCCGCTCAGACGACGGTAGCCGGAGTCGCTGTGCAGGTCGACCTCGCCCGTCGGAGTCATCGCTTGGTAGACGATCTTCTCAGGGCAGGTCTGCAATTTCCTGGTAATCGCGCCCGGTCGTCGCAAATTCATGTTGGTCGGTTCTTGGGCACGCTGTAAAGATACAAATGCGTGCAATTAGCCGCGCTTGTGTGATACAGGGCGTAAGCCAAAGCGCCTCTGAGGCTGGCAACCATGTCGGTGACCATCTTCGATGCCTTGGCCTCAGCGTCTGCGCCTGTGACTTCATATGCTGGATAGAGCGGAGCTGTTTGATGTACTCGTCTTCATCAAGTGTAACCTTACTGTCGCCGTCCTTCGTGTACCTCGCAGCGCAGTAAGTAGATGTGTATTTGTTGAGTTTACATTTGCCAGAAGTATCCTCAACACACTTGACTAACCTGTCGATGGTGTCCTCAGTGCCGGTCATGTTTATGTCATCGACATGCTTGGCTGTAAGAAGGTTAAAACTTGTCTCGAACTCCTCGTTGTAGGACGTGGGTTTAAGATCAAACCCTCTTGTGGTCTTTCTGAGCTTCAGTGAGAGGGCTCTTGGTGCATCGTTGATGCCAGTGCCTGGTTTGAGGCGCTGTAAGCAGAGCTTCGAATTTCTTGGTGCTCAAATCCTGGGAGGAACCTGAGCGCGCATGCTGATCCAGATGGCAATGTGAAGCACGCCGCGCGTTCCTCTTCACCCGCTGCTCCAGTGAGTTCCTGATTAGTGAGTCTTTTCTGGAAAGCCATGTTGATGTCAAGGGGAGCAATGACCCGCTGCTTCTTGCGCGCTGCCGCGCTGGCGAGTAGTCGCTGGCTCGACTGTCGCGCCGTTCCTGGAAACGTCTCCACAACGAAGGCTTCGAGGCCCATGAAGCCCCAAAGTACCAAGCGTAGTCTGATGGTACGTAAAAAACCGCAATTTTCGTTCTTGAGGAATTTCAATGTATATGCGTGTCTCGAAGTCATGATGTTTGACGCATTGGGTATATCTCGCATTTTGAAACACTTATTGTCAGACCATGTCTTGAGTCCAATGTATGGGGCTTTCGACGCCTTGACTGGATTCGCCTGGATATCAGCCTTCGTGAGAAGGTCGTCCTCCTTGACGACTACAGCTCGTTTAGCTGCGGCGGCCACATGCACTCGCATGGTGGTCGCGCGGCCGAAGTCTAGTATTCTGTGCGGTTGTTCGGATAAGACTACCTTGGACACGTCTGCCGTGTGGCAGAGGTCTACATCTTGTCCGTGCTTGTCAGAGTCCAGTCCATAATTGTTGTCTTCGTCCGTGGAGCATAGTGGGACATGGTATGTCTCCGTTGTGTCTATGTCCTGTGGGTTACCCCACACAGGTGCTCCCACTGTTCTTCAGCTACCGTGACCAGCGCACTGTTGTCCGTGATCATCTGTGTGGGTACAGTGTAGACGTCGTCAATTTGAGTTGCCTCCAGTAGATCCCATTCGTCTTGCAGCTCGGTGCACCGCATTTCCAGAATGTGTGCCTCGAGGTCCGCCTCTGATTCCTCGTGGATGGTGGGGGGCCGTCCGTCTTCCTGTGGTGGTCAGACTTCTGGGACTTCCTTTGCGTCGTTGCCATGTATTGGTGCGTCGGCCAGTTTTTCGAACTTCGTCATGTCTTGGTCGAAGCCCGCTTGAGGTCTGGTGGACTTCACGCACTGGATGATCCTGGAATGTGCTGATCAAGTTCTATCCTGTATGTTAAGGACAGCGCCTTCGGCTTCGCAGTGATGGAAGCCTGGGTTCACGTCATTGTCATAGTGCACCAATGTACAGCTGTCAGCAGAAGCCACCAGAGGTAACTTGTGAATACTCTTTGCCACCCAGACAGAAAATACGTTCTCGATACGAAAGAATTCCTGATGAGGTACTGAAGAGCTAAATGCACTTTAGGATGTAGTCGGCTTGCGCTCGTCATGCTTGCCCGGCGGATCGTCTGTTCTCGAGAATGGTGGGGTGTTTCTGTCTGCTGTTCGTGGTCCAGAACAAGCATGTCGGGTAGCGTCGCCAGTTGCCCGCCGAACAATGCGTTGCATGGAGATACCTCGTTGTCAAAGGTAAACGCATTGGCGGCAAGCAAGGCTTCGTGCAGTAGACGGGTGAACACAAGAGGTATGTTTAACCTGTTGAATTCAGCCTCCATGACGTGAAGTAGGTGTCGTAGTATGCCATTTCCGGCTTCGATGGTTGTGGCGTGTTCTCCACGCGCACGTACCCTCAGATCAGTGCCTTTTGTCTTGAGGACTGCCCTTGCGGTGTCGTTGTTGAGTGTACGTTCCATGTCGGAGTGAAGTGCGCTGGCAGGTCCGAATTGCACCCAGCACTGATAATTCGCACCTAAGATGCTGGTCATGGTTTGATCTGGCATCTTGATTCCAGCACCATATCGAATGCAACGATCGATTCAATGAAATATCTTGTGTTCCTGTTTATAGATCATCAGATCGCATTCGGCTTCATCGTTAAACTTGCCAGGCAGCGCAGTAGACGGCATGGCGGCGCGCCCTGGCGTGTCCCAAGCCCTGCGCTCCCGACATGTCTCGCAGACGCCTTTTATCAAGTTTAGGAGGGCGCGCCGCTGGATCTCCCCAAGGGGGGGGGACTGGGGGCCCCTCCCCCCCCCTTCCCCGATCCGTCGTCGGGACCCCCCCAACCTTCCCGCCTTTCCTGGTCCGTCGTGGGGGAACCGCTCCCCCCTGTCCCCGCCTTTCCCGGTCCGTCGTCGGGGAACCCCCTCTCACCCCTCCCCCCCGGTTCAAAAGGGGGGGGGGGGTCCGGATCCCACCCCCTCCTCCATTTGGCCGCCAAATTCGAACACCCCCCCCCTCCCTCCCTCCCTTTCGCCGCGGCGCCCCCTGGCTCCAGAGCCCGACCCCTGGCCCCCGACAGCGAAGCCGCATGTCTCTGGGGGGGTCAATCGTCTATCTGGCCCCCATCGGCGATGAACGGGCGATTGGGGGTCGACGCGTCCCCCCCCTGAGCCTATCCCCCCTTAGCCTTGCCCCCGAGAGGCGCACAGACGTCCAGCCTCCCGCACGCCAGATGCCCGCGCGCCACCGCTGCACCTCGAGGCCTCGGTGAAGCCGAGCCCGCAGCGGCAACGCTTCGAGTCGAGCAGGGTCTCGGGAGGCTCTCGCGGGTTTCCAGAGGCCTTCGAAGCCCGCTGGCGGGTGGGGCAGGGAAAGAGAAAGAGGAGGAGGAGGAGGAGGAGGAGGAGGAGGAGGAGGAGGAGGCGGAGAAGGAGGAGGAGGAGGAGGAGGAGGAGGAGGAGGAGGCGGAGAAGGAGGAGGAGGAGGAGGAGGAGGAGGAGGAGGGAGGAGGAGGAGGAGGAGGAGAGAGAGGAGGAGAGAGCGGAGCAGCAGGCGGGGAGGGACGAAGCACCGCGGGGATGCCAGTGGCAAGATGAAGCGAGGAGAGCAGGAGCGAGAGAAGCAGCAGCGAGGGCAGCGAAGGGAACAGCAGGACGGAGCAGCGACGGCGCGCCCCCGTCCCACCCCCTCCAGCCTCGGTCAGCCCCCGCGGAGCGAAGGCCAACACCCCCTAAAAAAAAGCACGCAAGAGAGACCGCAGTTAGGCAAGAGTGACCTCTGGTGCGGTGCTTCTGGGGGGCGCGGGGGGGTCAGACCCGAGCGCGCACGCCGCTGCTGTCGCATCGCATTCAGCCATCCGGTGACCCCAGCGAGGGCCCCACCGACCACGGGCCTGCGCGAGCCTGGCGCCGAGCGAGGGGGCGGCGAGCGAGGGAACGGCGCCGAGCGAGGTCCCCCAGACCGACCACGAGCTCCCCGGCGGCCACACCGAGGCAGCGGGCACCAAGGCGAGAAGGCCCATCCCTTCGCTGCCCACTCCCTCCTCGCCTTGGAGGCGGCCAGGGCGTCTGAGCTGGGAGGGCCTCGAGACAGTCGGTCAAGAAGGGGAGGAGGCGCCAACTCCGCTGAAAATCAGACCCCAGACCCTCATCAGGTGAATTTTTCACTCCAGAACAGTTTTTTACGGTCCTGGGGCTCGAAAGCGGCCCCAGGAGACTGACAAAGGCAGCAAAAACAGCTTCCCGAGCCCGGAATCTCGAACCTCCCCCCCCCTCCTGCTGGCCAGAACCACATCCTGGTGGGCCACCTCCGACCCTCCTCCTCCTCCTCCTCCGCCTCCTCCTCCTCCTCCTCCTTCTCCTCCGCCTCCTCCTCCGCCTCCTCCTCCTCCTCCTCTGGCCGGCTCCAGCCCTCGCCGAACCCCTCCCCTCGGCCTCGTTCGCGCGTGGTCGCCGGTCCTGGCCCGCGCCTTCATCGCCGCGTGGAAGGCGACCTGTCGGCTGCGGGGACTCACGGCCGCCTGTGGCGCGGTCAAGCGGCGGGAAGGGGCGGGGGGCAGGAGGAGGAGGAGGAGGAGGAGGAGGAGGAGGAGGAGGAGGAGGAGGAGGAGGAGGGGAGGAGGAGGAGGAGGAGGAGGAGGAGGAGGAGGAGGAGGAGGAGGGCTGCTGCATTGTGGAGTCGGGCGCCTCCTGGCCCCGGCAGGAGGGGCCGGGGGAGGGAGGAAGGATGCCGGGTGGGTTTCGTCCGCGCCCGCGTAGAAATCCGAGGTCCAGGCGATGAGGCGGTCGCCGAAGACAGCGGCGAAGACGCACGATGACGGCGAGGACGACGACGACGACACGACGACGACAGACGAACGAACGCAGCGACGCGAACGAAGAGAAGGGAAAGAGGGAGGAGAACGACGACGAGGAGAAGAAGAGGAGGAGGAGGAGGAGGAGGAGGAGGAGGAGGGAGGAAGAGGAGGAGGACCATAATAAACCCAAGGCGTACCAACGATGCTGCACTGTACCCTTCCGTAGCAGAGGAAATTACAGCGGTCCAATTGTTCCTGCCATCAGGAACACTTCCTGGGACTGCGCAGTGCAAGGCAGCTATGGTGGATGTCCAACGGGTCTTTGACGGCAAGTTCGAATTGGAGATTAACTTCGAGAAGCAGCTGGAGGGCTACGAGGTGCAGGAGAATGATCGCAAGCCCCTCGACGAGGCCAAGGACACCTTGCAGAAGGCACCGTCGGAGGCAGCCAAAGGAGTCCTGCGGAGCCCTCCAGGCTGAGGCGGCGCGCACGAGGCCCAGGTCCAGGAGGTCACGGAGCGGGCCAAGCAGAAGCGCAGGGGACCAGAGTCGGTGGCGGCCAAGAGGGGGGCGTCCAAGAGGGGGGGGTGCAAGTCATGGCCGGCGGCATGTGCGCGGCCCAGGGAGGGGGCCAGGGACGTAATGAAATAAGAAGACGCGCCATGAAATCTGGGGAGACATCATGGCCCCCGCCATGATATCCACCCCCCCCTGGTCATCACCCCCCTCTGTGCCGCCCCCGACAGGGGGGGCTCCTGCCGGGGGAGCACCCACCAGTGCAGGAGGTGGGACCTCAGCATCGGTGCCGTCGGCTAACGAGGGGGCAGGAGGAGGAGGAGGAGCAGGAGCAGGAGGAGCAGGAGGAGCAGGAGGAGGAGGAGGAGGAGGAGGAGGAGGAGGAGGAGGAGCAGGAGGAGGATTGTGAGGAGGAGGAGGAGGAGGAGGATTGTGAGGAGGAGGAGGAGGAGGAGGAGGAGGAGGAGGAGGAGGAGGAGGAGGAGGAGGAGGAGGAGGAGGGGGAGGTGGAGGCGCGGCACCTCCAGGTCCTGCCCCGCCCACGGCCTGGCCAAGCTCCGCCTCCCCAGCCAGGTGCTGTCCGGTCGTGCGGGAGAGCCTGGCCCACAGCGGGCCCGCCCGGAGCGCGAGGCGGCGCAGCTGGTGGGCAGCCTCAAAAGGAGCCAGCAAGGGGGCAGCGTTCCTGATGTTGGGGCTCAGGACGTGAAGAGCTTGTACATGAGAGATCTCTCTGGATGGGGTCCTCCTTGCAAGGGTCTTCTGAAGGAGGGCGACCACGATGTCCTCATCTCTCCAGAACTGCACCTCTTGCCTGAGGAACGACGTGAAGGGCTGTATGAGTGGGCTAGAGCTGGATACCAGGCGGTGGTGGTTTTATCTTATGCGGCCTGTGGTTTTAAGCGTGCACCTGGTATCACGGCAGGTGTGAAGAAACGTTATATGTTCAAGTCATTTCGCCATCTAGCCAACAAGCCCGAACAGCATATTGGTCTGAGTAAGTAGGAGGAACCAGAGGCCACCAAGCAGATGGGCTTAGATTTCAGGGACATTAAGGCGTTTCAGTTGAAGGGTGGCGGCCAGGCGATCACCATAGTTGACATCTACCTCACGGCAGACATTGGTCTTCCTGGCACGAATATCGATACATTGATTCAGTTGGGGCAGCTTCTCCAATGTCTTCGCACGCCTTGGTTGGTTCTAGGAGATTTCAATGCAGAACCTCATGAGTTGCAGAAAGTTGGTTGGCCCAAGCTAGTGGATGGAATGCTACGGACGGCAATTGGTTCACATTGTACCTGCACATTGGGAAATAAGCGGTTGATTGATTTCATGGTTCTCTCAGCCTCGATGACTCGATTTGTGGAGTCTGTCACTGTTGATGACACTGCATGTTTTGAAGGAGGTACGGCTCACTTCGGACTTCATTTGAAACTCAAGTTTCAGCTTGATCAAGCGCATCGCTGGGTACTACCTCTAGCTGAGAAATTTGTGTATCCACCAGTGCCCAAGAAGACAAAGGACCCGACGAGCAAGCGTACCAGGAAGTTGAAGTTGACCCCTGGTGGCCCAGAGGATGTGCAGCAGCCAGCCAGCGACTCGGCACCAGCGCCACCAGTGAAGAGAAAGCCAGCCATTCACTTCAAGGGCCCACCTCCTCTGAGCTATTTGATCAATGTTGAGTGGCGCATCGAGGCTGAACCAGAGTTTCAGGAGGATGACGACGACGATGACATGCTCGACCCAGATGCTCGGCTCGAGGACCCAGAGGCTGATGGCCGTGGCGACCTTGGACATCTTGCACACCCCGACCCCTCGGTCCCCGCCCCGCTCACAGGCGGCTCCCCTCGGGTGCAGCAAGGGGAGGCAAGCGCCGCGTCGCGAGGGAGTAGGGCAGACCGGTTGGTCACGGCACAAGACGTACCTGGGCTAATCAGTGGAGGTTTACCTGCAGCAGAGCCTGGACAGCCAGGCCCAGGACATCGGCTGCTCACCACACCAGCAAGCCAGCGGAACATCCTGTGGGAGACGCTCAATGACGCAGCTGGCAAGACCCTTTTGCCCTTCGTCTTCCACTTGGACATGGATGGGGCCTTGCAGGTAGGACGAGCATTTTCTGATTGGATTTCTCGCTTTGAAGGTTTCTTCTGTGCGATGCTTGAGGTCCACCCTAAGGACCAACACATGTTCAAGGGCCGAGCACGGCTGCGCGAACATCAGAAGCGGTCTGAAGCTCAGGAACCCACTTTGTCTCTGCTTGGGATCCTGTGGCCCACTGGTGGGCTACCCTGAGCTTCCTTCTCTCTGATCTGGTGACCTTCCTTGGGGATCGCACGCAGCATAGGCCCAGTACGCTTTTTGAACGTATCCGAGACATGGCTGCATTGACGCCAGTCTCGCCTCTTTTGCCTTTGAGCACGAAGCTTCGTGCTGATTGGGTTCGGGGGCTCCACGCTCTGAGAAAAGCTTCGGACCAGACGATCAGAGATTTCGAGTCCAAGGCCAGACAAAATTCGGTCAGGGCTCAGCGAGCGGGGCTCAATTCCACTTTATCTCGTTTCGAGGAGTGGGCCATGCAGCAGGGTAAGGCTGGAGGCCGAGGTCTTTACAACAGAATTCGGGATAAGACTGTGTGCGTTGGTGAGGTTAGGGCCAGAGGGGATACGTCGCTACATTCCTGCCAGCGCATGGCAGTGAAGGCAGAGCTCTGAGCTAGGAAGTGGGCTGGTGACAGCTCCAATATTCCCAAGGTCCGAGCTTTCTGGCTCAAGGCCCAGCTGAAGGCCAAGTAGCACCCACGGCCCCCCTCTGGACGTCGCCTGGATCAGGAGGGTCTTATCGGCCCTGCCTGAAACCAAGCTCCAGGGGCTGACAAGCTCTCCAAAACAGATTTTCGGTGGTCACCGCCTTCAGGTTTGCAGCAGCTTGCTGATTCCTGCCTTAGTACAGCAGCGCGTATGTTGGCCATGGCAAGCTTTGTGCTCCTCCTCCTCCTCCTCCTTCTCTTCCTCGTCCTCCTCGTCCTCCTCCTCCTCCTCCTCCTCCTCCTCCTCTTCCTCCTCTTCCTCCTCGTCCTCCTCCTCCACGTCCTCCTCGTCCTCCTCGTCCTCCTCCTCCTCCTCCTCCTCCTCCTCCTCCGATCGTGCGATTGGCCGGCTGCCCTGGGCGGTCAGGTCCTGGGGTCCACTGCGAACCTCGGACCGAGCAACATGGACCCAAAGAGCGTGCTGTGGGACACGGCGCTCGCGGGGCAGTTCTGCCATGCGGGTTGCGCTGCTGAGGCTCTTCGGAGACGAGCCATCCGCACATTTCCAGTCTGCCAAGTCACCAGACTGGCAGCCTGCTCTGGGATGTGAAATGGATTCTATGGCAACCTTTACTGGGATTTGGTCCCGGACCACGCTTTGGAATCGGAGTTTCCTCCCTGCTATCTGGCCCTGGAGCTCCAGGTCCATACGGCGGACAAGATTTTGAGGGAGGCAGGAGGCTTTTCATTACAGGTGCATCCTTGCATGTCTCTTATTCCTGGGAGCAGTGGGGCAGTGGACCTATGTCGTGCTGCTTTGCATTTCGCGTGTAGGAGGATAGCCACTGGACCCCTTCTCCCATCCTTGCACACTTGGGTGGATGATATAGTCCAATGCATGTACGGTATCAGTGAAAGAGTTTTTGCTGAGCTTTCCAGAGTTGGACTAGACTTGATCCAGGGTCTGCGCGCTCCCAAGCTCCAGATTGCTCCGAAGTCGGCCATCATCTCGTCCTCCTGGGGTCTGGCCGTGAGACTTGAGGATTTCTTCGCAGAGCAAGGAGTCAGCGTCCAGGCAAGCGAGTAGTTGCTGATCTAGGAATCGATCGAGGCCAGTTCAATGCGAGGAGACCCAAGCAAGCTAGGCGACGGGCTGGGGCAGAGCGTAAGCTCCAACGTCTCAGCAAGCTTGACAAGGGCACCCGTCTATGTAAGAAATGGGCCCGCAAGATGGCCTTGACCTCAACACTCTTCAAGGCTAGGTATTCCGATAAGGTCCATGGCGCTCCACCTGGTTGGCAGAGAGCGCTTGGGAGGCTGACTGGGGGAGCTTCCAAAGGTGGACGGTGCCTGACGACCCTTCGAGCTTGAGAGTATGGTAGGAGATACACAGCTTTCTTCGCTACGCTCGACACTATCGACGCCTGGTTTCAGATGTTAACTCACTCCAGCTTTGATGCTGAAA